ATAAGAGATGGAGCAGGAGAACATGAGGGAGAAAAGGGTTAAATAATGCTAAATAATTTTCCAACCACTTAGCATTAGCCCTCAAATATATGTATGGGCTGGGGAGATGGCTCAGTAGAATAAGCGCTTCCCTGGCAAGTGCAAAGACCTGAGTTCAATCCCTGGTTCCACAAAAAAAAAAAAAAAAAAAAAAAAAACCTGCTGTGGGGGGCGGGGAGATGGCTCAGTGGAATAAGTGCTTCCTTGGCAAGCTCAAGGGCCTGAGTTCAATCCCTGGTTCTGCAAAAAAAAAAAAAAAAGGAAGACACTACAGAATCAAGGTAGTATTTTGAAAGCTGATAGGAAAAGGGAGACAATCACACTTGGATCCTGACTCTCCTCCAGAATCCTGCACACCATTCAGGGAAGCAGAGGAGAATTTCTCATGTCAAATGTATCCCGCCTGATAAATAGGAAAGAATGATAGATTATCACCATGTGCAATACCTAATAAAAGAACAGATCTAGGGCTGGGGAGATGGCTCAGTAGAACAAGCGCTTCCTTGGCAAGCACAAGGGCCTGAGTTCAATCCCTGGTTCCACCAAAAAGAAAAAAAGAACAGATCTAGACCTTGGTCTTCAGTAGTTACCTTCTGATGAAAACCTAACACCATCTGTTCTGGCTTAGAGCTAGATCGCCCCCCCCAACTCCATACACTTGGGGGAGTGATTGGATCAGGTTGAGATATAGAATTAGTTCCCTGATGGGTTTATAGCTGGGCGTGGCTTGCAGCTGCGTCTCCTTCCCAATGCCCCTCTGCTGTGCTGCCCTGCCTTGGAGCCAGCTGACCACGGATGGAACCTCTACAACCTGTGAGCCAAAATAAACCCCTCCCCTTCTCACTTGTGTCAGACATTGTGTCTTGGCTGTGAAAACGTAACTAAGATATCTTCTAGGCAGAAAGGTCTTCTCCCTAAAAATCCAATAGCCAAAATTCTAAAATGTTAGCTCATCAAATCTCTAAATATAGAGGACACAGGGCCGGGGAGATAGCTCAGTGGATAAGTGCTTCCCAGGCAAGCACAAGGGCTGAGTTCAATCCCTGGTTCTGCCAAAAAAAAAAAAAAAAAGAAAGAAAAGAAAAGAGAAAAAAGAAAGTATACTACTTTCTAGTCACATTAATGGCATTGTAGTTCTTTTTTGGGGGGGAGAACCAGGGACTGAACTCAGGCTTTTGTGCTTGCCAGGCAAGTGCTTATTCTGAGCCATCTCCCCGGCCCCAATATCTAAAAGCATCTGCTATACTTCAGAATCATGTACTGAAATATTTACAAATGAAATAATGTATTGTCTCAAGATTTGTGGAACCAGGTTTAAAGAAAAAAAAGGTTAAAGACTTGTGGGCTGGGGAGATAGCTCCGCAACTTAAGTACCTTCCTGGCAAATGCAAGGTCCTGAGTTCAATCCCCAGTATTTACACACACAAAGAAGAAAATCTTGAGGATGTCTAAAGATTTACTTCAGAATAATCCAGAATAATACAGAGAGAAAAATGGGTGGGGTCATAAATGACACACAATTATTACAGATATATACATATATATATCCCTACTTCTACACACACTTGAAATAGGGCTGGCTTGGCAAGCGCAAGGGTTCAATCCCCGGTTCCACCGAAAAAAAAGAAAAAAAAGAACTCAGTTCTTTGTGGGGCTGCTTGTAACACATTTAAAATGTTGTATAATTTTTGAAAAGTTAATCCAAAGTCATCTCTACAGAGGAAATCATGAAAAATATGTAATAAATCACAAAAAATAGTTACCCTGGCACCTGGCTTTCTGGCTATATTTCCCTTTCTGCTTATCAACATATTTTCATATAGAAAATCAATCACATACATACTAAAAATTACTTGTGGAAATTTTAAAAATTATTCATCTAACAAAAGGGAAGTGAAACATCTAAAAGTTTTGAGCTATACTTGTAAAGCAGTTTTTTCAATTTAGGTTAATATTAATATTTCTATCAGGCAACAAACCATGAGGCATCGGTAGCTCCACACGTGATTAGGGTTAAACAAGAAGCTCAAAACTCATCCATAGCACTGTTCAAATAAGCAAAACGGGAACAAAGAAATGATAAACAAATAACTAAGACTGGAGCAGCTGATCTTACTGCCAAATTCTGTTGCATTACCATGCGCCCCTCCGAGGAAGAGCCCGGCATGCAAATCATCCCCCATCTGGCAAGAGAAGGCCCGGAGGACTCTTAAGTGTTTTCGAAACTGTGAGCGGACAGCTGCCCACGGGCCTCTGCCTTCTGCCTCACGTGCATGAACAACGCCGGCGGCGAGGAACTCTTCTCCACGCGCCCCGCGGGTGTTCTCTGCTCTCTGCTGCATCGTGGCCACCCGCAGGTCCTAATTTCCAACCTTTCAAAAGAAAAAGTGTGACCTCAGGGCTTTTCTGGGCTGCGAGGATTAGTTCCTAATGAGATTAATTTCAGTAAAAAAAAAAATTGTTGGGGCTGGGGAGATGGCTCAGTAGGATAAGCGCTTCCCCAGCAAGTGCAAGGGTCTGAGTTCAATCCCCAGTTCCACAAAAAAAAAAAAAAAAAAAAAAAGAAGAAAAATTGTTTAAGTGAACACCAGCCCACATTACTGGGTAAATAACTTTAGTGGATCCATCGAAAGGGTAGCTTGAGGGCTGGAGGGGTATCTCAATGGGAGAGGAGCTGCCTAGCCTCCTCCACAAGGCTCTGGGTTCAAGCCCCAGTGCTACAAAAACAAGTCTTTTTATTTTTTAATTTTTTTTTATATTTTGGCAGTACCAGAGAACAAACTCGGGACCCTGCACATGCCAGTCAGGCAGTAATGCCACTGAGCTGTCTCCTCAGCCCCAAAAAAGTCTTTTTAAATAAAAATAAAGTTGTCTTAAAAGATCCCCACTACTCATTTTTCCTTTTCTTTTACAAAAAGTAGAAAAAATAAGAGATGGAGCAGGAGAACATGAGGGAGAAAAGGGTTAAATAATGCTAAATAATTTTCCAACCACTTAGCATTAGCCCTCAAATATATGTATTTCCTTGCATGTATCAGTGCAGGGGGAGAGAGGGAGAGGGAGAGGGAGAGGGAGAGGGAGAGAGAGAGAGAGAGAGAGACAGAGAGACACACAGAGACAGAGAGACACACAGAGACAGCGACACACAGAGACAGCGACAGACAGAGACAGACAGAGAGACAGACAGGCAGATACAGATGGATTTATCTCCTTAAAAGAGCACTGAGATTCTTTTTCTGTTTTGTTTTGTTTGGTGGAACAGGGGATTGAACTCAGGCCCTTGCACTTGCCTGGGAAGCGCTTATTCCACTGAGCCATCTCTCTGGCCCCAATTTATTTATTTACTTATTGCAGTATGGGGGATTGAACTCCAGACCCTGCACTTGCCAGTCAAGTGCTTATTCTACTGAGCTATTGCCCCAGCCTTTTGAGATTGTTGCTAGTGTGAAAACCTGAAAGAGTAAATAAAATCTAAATTGCTCTGTGAAAAAGCGGCCGGCTGGTAGAACATTGAGAAACATTGTTAAGAACAATAGTGGAACAGGCATGGTGGTGATTGCTTGTGTGATTCCAACTACAACAGAACTGAGAATGATGCAAGCAGCAGGCACAAGCCAAAGAATCCAAGTTCAAGGCCAGCCTGGAAGTCTACAAGAACCTATCTCAAAATACAAAAAAAAAAAAAAAAATCATACCTGTGAAGGTACACCGCTGTAATCCCAGCCCAGCCTAGGTGATTGAATGAGATCTTGTCCAAAAATACATAGATTAAAAGCTACGAGGGCTGGGCAGATAGCCTAGTGGACTAAATGCCTGCTTAGGCAAGTTCAGGGACTGGGGTTTGATCCCCGGCACCAGATGCCGCACCAGCCCCACCCCCAGGCGCACTGAGCTGGCCACCAAGTTCAGGCATGGTGGCACAGGCCTGTAATCCCAGCACTGGGGAGGCAGAGACAGAAGGATCACTATAAATCCTAGCTGTGTAGTGAGACCCTGTACCAAATACATTTTTTAAAAAAAAAAAAAGGATATACAGAACTGTGGCTCAATATGAAGAGCCTGTGTTTAATTCCCATACCATAAAAATAAGAGGAGGAGGAGGAGAAGGAGGAGGAAGAGGAGAAGGAGGAGGAAGAGGAGAAGGAAGAGGAAGAGG